GTTCGTTTGTTTACACTTTATTTAGTTTTTGTAGGTGAGACATACAAACTTTCGTAGTAATAAATTGTTGGTGTATGGAACTGAACGTCTTATTAGGTCTTCTTCTGCTCCTCGCCGAGAAATACGACACAACTACTTACACTAAACGAAGTCTGGTGAGTCCCCATAAATAATTAGAACATGCAGAATAGTACGTGTACAACAGTTATTCACTACTATAGTTTATTTTGAAACAGGAACCTACTTCTATTCCGAATAAGAGTAGTCCCTACAACAGAACCTAAAACGGACCACGGTTGAAAGAATAACATAAAAGTTCTAAATTGTGTTAAGTTAGAAGGTGATTTAGACCAAAGTCCAATGTTTTACTCAACTTACATTTAACGTAATTCCATTCGCACGTGAAAATACTGAACAAAACGAATATATTCTATGGAAAACAAAACTTGTTAGCCCGGTGACATGCGAACCACAAATGACCGTCAAAGGTTTAATTATACCAACATTAAGGACCAGTCTATTAGTTTCTATTTTGTCATTTTGACCTCGTATAATTACAACAACTATGCGACGGTACACCTAGTAAATTCTATGCTGAAGGGCCAAAGGATTCTATTATTCACATGAAACTTAAGAGGCCTTAAAAACGACTTTTCCGTTTTTTTGTACTTCACACTTTGGTGTACTTAGTCAGGTATTTATATGTTTTATGTAGAGCTTTTCGACTTTTACAGGACTTGAATACACGTTTGACTAACTGGAATTACATAACACATGACCGACTAAATTGTATTATCTGTACGGTGGATTTACTGAACCAGTGAGACGGTACGTTACAGTTTAACAGAAATATACTTTGTGATTATACAGAAACTCATAGACCTTTAGATATTTAGTTTTTCATAAAATTGTAAACGAGTAACAACGGAAAACGTCTCAACTCCTCTTTGGCGTCATTTTCTACCTCGCCAGTCTCTTGCAACACTTCTACATAAAACGATAAGCAAACAAATGTGAAATAAATCAAAAACATCCACTCTGTATGTTTGAAAGCATCATTATTTAACAACCACATACCTTGACTTGCAGAATAATCCAGAAGAAGACGAGGAGCGGCTCTTTATGCTGTGTTGATGAATGTGATTTGCTTCAGACCACTCAGGGGTATTTATTAATCTTGTACGTCTTATCATGCACATGTTGTCAATAAGTGATGATATCAAATAAAACTTTGTCCTTGGATGAAGATAAGGCTTATTCTCATCAGGGATGTTGTCTTGGATTTTGCCTGGTGCCAACTTTCTTATTGTATTTTCAAGATTTAACACAATTCAATCTTCCACTAAATCTGGTTTCAGGTTACAAAATGAGTTGAATGTAAATTGCATTAAGGTAAGCGTGCACTTTTATGACTTGTTTTGCTTATATAAGATACCTTTTGTTTTGAACAATCGGGCCACTGTACGCTTGGTGTTTACTGGCAGTTTCCAAATTAATATGGTTGTAATTCCTGGTCAGATAATCAAAGATAAAACAGTAAAACTGGAGCATATTAATGTTGTTGATACGCTGCCATGTGGATCATTTAAGATACGACTTCCCGGTTTCCTAAGATAATAAGTGTACTTTGAATTCTCCGGAATTTTTGCTGAAAAGGCAAAAAAACATGAAGTGTGAAACCACATGAATCAGTCCATAAATATACAAAATACATCTCGAAAAGCTGAAAATGTCCTGAACTTATGTGCAAACTGATTGACCTTAATGTATTGTGTACTGGCTGATTTAACATAATAGACATGCCACCTAAATGACTTGGTCACTCTGCCATGCAATGTCAAATTGTCTTTATATGAAACACTAATATGTCTTTGAGTATCTGGAAATCTATAAATCAAAAAGTATTTTAACATTTGCTCATTGTTGCCTTTTGCAGAGTTGAGGAGAAACCGCAGTAAAAGATGGAGCGGTCAGAGAACGTTGTGAAGATGTATTTTGCTACTTGATGGATGCACCAGCAGCTACATGTTGAAATGGTGTTGATAGGCCTCCACAATACAACATTCAATGATTTGGGACAAATTAAGAATGATTAAGAGCAGTCAATGACAACATTTGCAAATCCCTTTTTACAACTATCCAGAATCTAGATAAAGTGAACTTCACTTTTATTTCCCACCTAAATACGCTTGTACTTCCCAGAACAACTAGATAAAACAGTTCATTGATGTTGCTGATATGCCGTCATGTGAATCATATGAGTCACAACTTCCCGGCTTTGTTAGAGAGCGTTTGTACTTTGTATTTTCCGAAATGTAATATTAATGCTTAAAAGGCAAACAAACAATGAAGTGTGAAACCCTTTGAGGACAGAAGAGCGGAGAAAAGGTCGATAATAATACAAAAATTCACACTTTGAGAATGTGTTTTATTTCTGTATGAATGATCAGTGTATAATAAATACCAATAAAACATATACATGTTATTATTGTTTAAAAATACAGTTGGATTCAATGGGCATTAGTACCCCATGTCAAAATCAGGATAACTTTATTTGTCTCACAGGGGGGACATTTACAATCGATACAGCAGAGAGCCCAAAGAGAAGCGCTTANCCAAAGATAGCTTAATATCAACCAAGAAACATGCAAGAACTTAATTAGAACTAGAACTTACACAATTTACAAGATACACATCCAGTACCAATAACAGTTTAGCGAAATAACAGCCAGGAGAAAGAATAAAAGGTGGTAGAATAAATTGCACAGCTATTTACTGCACATGTAGTATTGCACAACAGGAGTGTTTTAGTCTTTGTTGTTATATGTGCGTGTGAGGTCTACAGGGTGGTTGTACAGTCTGACCGCTGCAGGAAAGAAGGACCTGCAGTATCTCTCTGTGAGACACCGCAGGTTTTTTAAAGCACTTTGAATTGCCTTGTGTTGAGAGATAAGATAAGATAGAACTTTATTGATCCCAATTTGGGAAATGTTTGTGTTGCAGCAGCATAAAAACACACGGCATTGTACAATAACAATTAAAAGACAAGAAATAAACAAGAAAGTAGAAAATATACATGTTGAATTTACAAATGAACAATAACAAGATATAAAGCAAGGTATTGTATTTACACAATGGTGTAACTTTGGTTTGAGAAGTGGGGGGGACACAAAACAGGGGGTCCTCCGCAATGAAACATTGTTCTCTATTTAATTCCATTTCCTGCCTTTCTACAAATATATATTAGGGACTATAGTGTTAACAAATCCAAGAAAAATGTGTAGTGTATATAATGAGTGTGCAAACTTATCTATCCATGAACCTGTTTTATTTGTGATTACCTCACATCCTATAGGGGGGTCCGGGGGCATGCACCCCCGGTAAGATTTGTTTCTTTAAATTGAAGTTAAAGCTTCAATCTGGTGCACAAATTAAGAGATTTATGGATACAACTCTCAACACTCATATGAAACAGAACTGTATATATTTCAATATTCCAAAAACCATTAGAATATGCTCACAACCAATAACACATCATTGATATACTCCTCCCTCCTATCTTTATCTTACCTAGTCTGCATTCTTTATTTTTATTTATGCATATTTTACTAATCACTTCCCTTTCAAACTGTGTTTTTAATTTTTTACTGACATTGGAATTATTCTTTAACTTATTTTGAACAACTATATTAAATAGATGGAAATATTTGTTTAGACCAAACCGTTTGAGACCCACTGAGATAACTAAGGTTTACAATCAATCAGCGAGTCCTTTACCTCCCTGAGCTGACGTTAGCTCAGCCTCTCAGTCCGACAGGAGAGGACTCTCCCTCTCCTTATTGTTGAAAAAGCTTCTAATCTCCGTTAGCTCCGAGCTAGCACCAGATACTACTAACAACAACACCTAACTCTCTCTGTCTCTCTTTGTCTCTCTCTCTCTGTCTCTCTGTCTCTCTCTCTCTCACACACAAACTGCGCTCCTGCCACACACACAAACAGACGCTCCTCCGTGACGATGATCACTTGAGTAAAAACTCGGAGTTGAACCGCTCCTCCTTCGCGTCGAAAGGAGCCAGTTGAGGTAGTTCGGGCACCTAGGATGCCACCTGGGCGCCTCCCTAGGGAGGTGTTCCAGGCACGTCCAGCTGGGAAGAGACCAAGGGGTAGACCTAGGACCAGGTGGAGGGATTCTATCTCTTCGCTGGCCTGGGAGCGCCTTGGGATCCCCCAGTCAGAGCTGGTTGATGTGGCCAGGGAAAAGAAAGTTTGGGGCTCTCTGCTGGAACTGCTACCTCCGCGACCCGACCACGGATAACCAGGAGAAGATGGATGGATGGATATATAAATGTAAAATGTACAGTGAAGAGAAAAACTATGGAGCAGAGAGGTGAAAGAGGCATAAATGTGCCTTATAAATAACTTGCCTTGCCTATATACATTAAATGTATTATTCTTATTCTTATAAATATTTGTTTTTTATTTGTATATTTTCTAAAATAGAGAAACGAAAAACTCTCACAAACCACACAGCTTTCCACTTTACATAACAATACTGAATACATGTAGCCTACTGTTTTTTTTCTCAGTACTGCTTTTTTGGATAAATCCAGATATCATGTAAATCATTTTCTATAACTTAACCATTCTTTTAATAGATTTTTAATAATAGTTTCTATTTTATTCTCTGGTTGTTTTTATTACTTTTTATCTTCTTTAACTGTGTTTATGTTTGCACCATGTACACCAAGGCAATTTCCTCGCATGTGTAAATCTACTTGGTAATCTTTCACATTCTGACTCCTTGTTGTTAAATAGCCTATGTGCAATATATATATATATACA